GAGACTCTCAACTCTTATTGATGCCCTAAGACCATCCACATTGCACACAAAATGTGGATGTCTCTAAATAAAAAAATATTAAAAACATACTTTTTTCTTCCTTTTACTCAACTTTATACGTTATCTTTTATCTTTTTACTCAATTTTTATTAATTTTATATTTAAACACATCCCAACTTTCATTCATTCTCTCTCCAACTTTGTCTTCCCATACATCCCAAAATATATTCTCTCTCCAATAATACCCACTATCTCCTCTCTTTACTCAAATTTTATTAATTTTATATTTCAATACACCCCATTATTTCAAATTTTTATCTTCTCTTTTTTATTTTTACTTAAATTTTAATAATTTTTTATTTAAAGACATCCATATTTTGTCTTCAATGTGGATGCTCTAAGATCTCCAATTGGATGGATTTATTAAGTGTTTACTTATTTGTTCCTATAATAATAAAGTCACTAATCATTTTTTTATATTTAACTTTCCTAGAAAAATAAAATTCGTTGGAGAGCCACTAAGATCCTGGCTGGAGAATAATGGAAAAAGGATATGCAAATAGTATTTAATAATATATATAACAAAGAATGGAAACAGACAAAATATATGGGAGAATCAAATTACAGCTGGATCTATCTTTCTTTGATGCCCAGTCCACCCAATAAAACTGGGCTTGGTCGACCCACGTGGCCTCCTCCACCCATTAAAACTGGGGTCTCACTTTGCTTTGGCTGCTTCTTGCGACCAAACTATAGTACTTGCTTATCACACTACAAACCCTTCCCCCAAAAAAGCACTTATCTTACAACCAAACATTACATATATTTGATAAGACAAATCACATCCCAACATATTACACTGTCTTGTCTCCATCCTCTTCTTCTCTAGTATACGTGACTACCGAGGATTCCTGTGGCCTGCAGGGCTTGGAACTCTCTGTGAACTTATGCTCGCTGTTCTCAGAAGTCTCCTGAACTCATGCAGGCTTATCTTCCCATCTCTGTCTATGTCTGCTTCATCCAGAAGCGGATCTATTGACCCTCTTAACCCCGTGTGCTGATTTCATTTTTCACTTATTAGCTATCATCATCATCAACCAACTCTATCAGTATAACAAACGAGAAGAAGAGGTAAGGTTACCATTCGAAGTTCCTCAGGCGTTATGTACCCGTCTTTGTCAATGTCGAATTTCTCAAATGCTGCTCTTGATCTTAGCTGCCATTTCTCTGAATCATGTTCTTCCAGCTGATGAACATGAAGAGCTGCTGCTACAAACTCTGTGAAGTCCACTAGCCCATCAGTGTTGCTATCAATCTGTCTCCACCAAATATACAACTATTCAGATTATGAAACTGTGGGTCTCTCCCGGAGAATGCAATTGCAATGGTATAGAAAACTGTAACTACCGCTTGAAGGATCTCAGCAACTCGTGAATCCTTCAGTTTCCAAGGAAGATCTTTGGCAAGTGCCTGTAGAAAGATAGATTCAATATTATCTGATTATCCTTAGATGTAATCAGGATTTTTCTTAAAGCATATCAACTTCACTTACCTGTCTCATCTCCTCAAGACTAATGACACCGTTTTTATCCACATCAATTGCATCAAACTGATCTCTGAGGTCAGAAATCTCTGCCTCATCAAGTGTGCTAGCAAGCGCCTGCAAGAAAGGGGACACAAAGAATAAGAGTCCTCATCTCTTTATTTTAATACATCCAACAAATTTCTTACAACTTCCTCATTCAGCTTACCCGTAAAGCAAACTGTTTTAGACGGCTATATCTTACAAACTGACGTAAGTTATTCAGAACTGAAATGTCGACAGGGATATCAGTGGCATTGCCACCTTCTCTAACCCACGCATGTGCTGCAAAGGCAAGAGACAACAGAGCATTAGTCTAAGATTCCATTGCAGATGATAAAAATCACCAACTAGTACTCAAAAGCAAGAACCACATACACAGGGCTTGTGCAGCAGTTAGCCGTGCTCGTGGGTCTTTTACAAGTAACTTTTTAACAAAATCTTTCGCGCTGTCGCTTATGGTTGCCCATGGTTTACGACTGAAGTCAGGTTGGTTCCTTAAGACCTATAGACATATAGTGACGTCAATAAGAAGTCAGAAGGAAATAAGAATAGGTATACATAGAAGTCCAATGTACTGCACCTCCTTAAATATACCGTCTTCTGTCCTATCCCAGAAAGGCCGCCTTCCACAAAGTAAAATATATGTAATCACACCAATGCTCCACACATCTGATTCAGGCCCTGACCTGCGCTTAAGTACTTCGGGAGCAACATAATAGGCGCTACCAACAATGTCATGGAACCTTTTCCCTGAGAAAGATGGAGTTGTTTATCACACAAATCAACACTTTGTTTGTATGGTTTTTGATATCTTCTACTTACCTGGTTTAATGAAATCCGATAAACCAAAATCTGTGGCCTTTAGAGGCGAATCCAGTTTAGTTGACTTGAATAAAAAATTCTGCAATAATTTGGAATAGTAAAGAAGACCATAACAGAAGATTGCTACAGATAAAATAGCCAAAGGAAAAACATGAGCTGTTCCTAAGAGTTATACAAGTGAATGTACCTCTGGTTTCATGTCTCTATGTACTAGACCGTGTAGATGACATTCTCCTGCGACTTTGAGCATCTGCCTTACGACAACGGCTGCATCTTTCTCGGAGTAACGACTATATTTCCTGCGAAAGCCATCAATAATGAGATGGGAAAATTCTTAAATACAAAACCAGCAAGTGAGCAGAGATGGGAGAGATGCTAACTTAGATAATATCCGGTCCAGTAATTCACCTCCCTCGCACAACCTAGAAAAAGGCAAGAGTCAAAAACAAATGTGAATGCCGGATACATGAAGAACAGACTAGTCTCATTGCATATAAAGATAACAAGGAGACTCACTCCATAACTATATACACGTAGTCATCATCCTCAAAGGCATTGTGAAACTGTACAACGTTCTCGTGGCCTGAAAGAGCTTTAAGTATCTGAACCTCTCGCTTCACGTCCTCAACCGCAATAGGAAGAACCATCTGTGAGCAAAAAATGGTAAGTGACCAAAGCAGAGCACGATGCAGTAACAGTATGAAACCATGTTGCAATCAAGCAAGCAAGATGGCAAACAGAGAAAAAGCACTAACAAATAA